AAATAAATAAATAAATAAATACAAATAAAATGTGTTTTGTGTCTTGTATTATTCCTGTTGCAAAACTCCAAACTAACCAACAAGCACTTTCCTAATTCTAGGTTTATTATGGTCTGAGAGGAGATTAAAGTTTTGCCTGCTACAATGGGCAGTCCAGTAAACGCTCAATTCAAACTATTTTGTGCTGGACTCAGTAATAAAGTTTTTATATGCCTTAATTTTGTTAATTGCTATAGTTAAACTGTCAGTTTTGATTCTTGTGTTTGAAATCGTGTATTTAGATTTTTACTAAAGGAGATTTAAAGTAGTGTTCAGTACTAATTGAGAAAAAACTTAAGTTTTCTTAATGGGGTACCAATTTTACTATTGTTTTTTATGGCATAAGTATTATTTCTGTTTCATAATAGTAGTTAGATCATCCATGAAGAATAAAAAAACAGGTAATTTTGCTTAGTTTCAGGGAGAGAAATAATACTCATGTGATAGTGGTTTTTTTTTTAATTTATGCGTGTGTGTGTGTGTGTGTGTGTGTGTGTGTGTGTGTGTGTGGCCAGCTCAGCTCAGCCCACCAGGGGGCGGGGGCTGGCTGGCATATGGTGCTGGGGGATTGAACCGCGGTCCCTGTGCTTTGCTAAGCTTGTTTTAAATAGGTGCTTTAGACCACTGAGCCATCTCACCAGCCCCGTGATAGTGTTTTTTATTTGTCTTTGGTATTTCAGGGGTAAAATCATGCCTACAAAGGAAGGTCTGTGACCAGGAAGAAGACTATGAAGTGCCTGAAGGTCCACAGAGAGGCAGGCTCAACAGAGAACAGCTGGTATTTTTCTTTTGATACTACTTTCCCTGTTCCCATAACTTCATATTATTACCACCATCAGGAAAAACTTCTGCCCTTTCAACAAGTACAGGTGACTGATTAAAATTTTAATTGTGCTTATTTCAAGCACTTGATTCTAAAAGATGATCACAATGTGCAGTAAAATTCAGAAGGTAATAATTTCTTACTGTTAATGGATTTTTGGCATCTTGAACATTCCCATAAACCTTTCAGAAGTTGAGGTAAATCTCAGATACAGGAAGTAGGTTGCAAGAAGACTTACAGCTGCTGCTCGGATTTGGTTGCCATATGTCTTTATTGCCACGTATTGCTGTTTTAATGGATACTATTCCTTTATCTTGTCGATATATATGAAGCAATGAAAATTTTTCATAGGAGGGAATTGTGAAGTTTTATTTTTCCATGAAGCACGAAGAAGTGGTATGTAGCTGGTTGGCCCCCTTGCCATCATTCATAATCAGAGCAGTACAGTAATCTGAGAAAACCCCAGGCCTGCCTTAGAGACCAGAAGCTGGTAGTGTATAGGGACCGGAATAGAGATGGGCAAGACTGGATGCTCCACCAAAAAGATGTTACTGCTGCAGTTAAGTTTAACCTGGTATTCCTTAATTTTTATTTATTTTTTTAAATTTTATTTTTATTTTTTATTTTTATTTTTATTTTTTAGTACAGGGTCTACAGGGTACAGGGACCATAGCGTCTCACTATGTAGATTGGACTCGTAGTGATTCTCCTGTCTTCAGCTTCTCAAGTGCTAGGATTACAAGCATGTGCCCCCCATGCCCAGTCTCAGTTGCCATCTTAGCGTGCCCCAGGGGTGAAACTGGCACGGCATGCCAGGGGTTGAGCCCTAACCACTGCACTCTGCCTTAACCTGGTATTCCTGAAGTATTCCTAGGAGTTTTGGGGAACTCCATTTCCTACCTAGTATGTATATGCATCTTGACAAAGGAATTTTTTTGAACAGTTTCTGTCTTTTTGTTTGTTTTGCTTTTTATAATGAGATTTTTTTTTCCTTTTTTATGTATTTGGTATAGGGTCTCACTATGCAGCTAGGTCTGGTAATGATCCTCCTGTTTTGATCCTTCCCAGTGCTGGGATTACAGGCTTGTGCCGCCACACCCAGTCTCAGTGGCTGGCTCAGCATGTCCAGGAGTGGGGCCGGTGTAGCATGTGGTGCTGAGAATCAAATTGCGGTCCCTATGCTTGCTTAATCTTGCCGACCCCCATCTTTTTATTTTAAAGGGGCAGAAAAATAATAAAAATGTACAAAATTTCAAAACAGGATGATAGAAAATTAACTGTGGTTATTATATTGCATATTGTTATCTTCACAGTTGCTCAGATTGCCACGTACAGGCATACAAAATTTATCATACATTATAAGCACTAATTGTTCAATATGGAATACGTAAAATTTTAGGACCTAAAAGGGATATTAGGAAGAAAAAATGGTCAATAGGAAATCCTTATTTGTGTAAATATTTTTCTTGATCCAGTTTGATATATAATTTGTTCCAGCAGTTCATAAAATATCTTCTTAGTTGATCTTGACTATTGTTTTTATTTCCCTCATGCATTTGCGGTATTTTAAAATATTTTGATCTACTTTTAGCAGTTCTTTCCTTGTTATTTCAGTTGCCTAAACTGTTTGATGGCTGTTACTTCTATTTCGGGGGAACCTTCAAACATCATCCAAAAGACAACCTCATTAGGCTCGTGGCTGCAGCGGGGGGCCAGGTCCTCAGTAGAAAGCCCAAGCCAGACAGTGACGTGACTCAGACCATCAATACAGTCGCATACCACGCCCGCCCCGATTCTGATCAGCGCTTCTGCACACAGTACATCATCTATGAAGATTTATCTAATTGTCGCCCTGAAAAGGTTCGGCAGGGGAAAGTCTGGATGGCGTCTTCAAGCTGGTTCATAAACTCTGTGATGTCCTTCACGTTGCTTCCTCTTGACAGCTGAATTTTATGCCAGATGAACATTTCATATTGTCCTTGCATAGTTTATGAGATTGAGCTATTGCAGTTTGTTACTCATATTTTTACAGATGGATAGAGTCATTCACTTTTGTTTCTTATTAAAAACAAACTTATGCCAAAGTAGGAATTCATTTTGTATTTGTCATTTAGGTGCTGGGACTGCTTTAAAGAGTCTTTCTATTGGGGTTGGGGATACGGCTCGGGGAGTTGCCTGCCAGGCGTGTGCACTGTCTTGGGCTTGATCCCCCACATTACAAAAATGAGTTATTTCCTTTTAAACTGATCTTTGTTTATTTCATCATGTCTTTCTAGTATAATTATCAACTAGCAGAGATTAATGAGAGGCTATCAGAACTGTTGGTTAAATCTGTGAATGATACTGTTACTCTATCAACCTTTTAATGTTCTCTGATAAAATCCACACCTGCCACCAGCACCAGTACTTTCTATCCTTTAATAAAGAGAATATTGTCAAATTATTATTCTGCCTTTACTGTAATGAGAAGAGTACTTGATCTACATGTGACACTATAGGTGTTAAATTTTCCTTTCTGCACTTGTGTACATTTTACATTGTTTTTAATTTTTTACAATTTTCTTGGTGTGTTTGACTTTTATCCCTTTAAAAAAAAATCTTGTATATTCATTAAGAAATCATGATTTGAACTATAATATTATTTGGGTTTTGGCAGTGCAAATCAGTAGTAGGCTCAAGGTACATAGTTTTTTATTGTGTACATTTTGTTTATTGTTAACTATTAATATATAGCTGTTTCTTTACTGTGTATGTATACCTGTTGTTTCTGTGGAAAATCAGTATAGGCATTTCTCATAAAGTCTTACTAGAAAATTGTCAATCAAATGTCAGTAATTAGATTAGAAGCAGTTTGGTAGATCTTGTGAGGGATGGAGCTAGGACCGCACCCGTCCTAACGCTAAGCGTGTGCTCTGCTTAGCTGCACCCTACCCGCCTTAAGTTCTTCATAAAGTTTTCAGGTTGGCATGTAGGCAGCAGCTGGAGATTACTTGATTTGCGACAAGATTTTTCCTAGGTTATGCAGAAAGCCTTAACCGTAAATGTAGAGGGAGGACTCGCTCCTGATGGCACAGTCAGGGCTGAGTGGCGGACAGTGCTCCTCCTGGGAATGGCCCACGCTGAGGAACTTGCTTTGTCCCTAATGTTCATACTCTGAATCAACAGGGGTGGGCTAGAAGCAGAGTTCTTTAATAAGTTTCTAGAAAACAAATATGTCTGTGTATTATAAGCTTGAGGAAGGAGGTACTGTGAGACCTCTCTCTTGAGCCAAAGAGGAGTACAGTCTGATAATCAATGGAATATCCCCAGTTTTAAAATACTATGCAGTTCATTTTAGGATCTGCTTATTTGATTGTTTCAGATTGTGGTGATCATTTTAAAATACCTTTTATATGAATTCCTTTTTGGCATACTACTTTATCAACAAGTACTAGTGAACAAAATATTTTTTCTTTGTTGACCAAGGGCAAATTAGGTCTGCAGTTTCCTCGAGGACTATTACTGTGTTCACTCCACCTTTTGTGCTGATAGAGAATGGTGGCTGCCGCTGCACCAAATGCTTTTGAGGAGTTAGATAATGTCTGGATTAAATTAAATGGAGACCATGGGATTTTGTCACTTTTGTTGCATGACGGACTTTAGGTCCCTTTTTGTGGCCTTCTAGGTCATGATCCTAGACAAGTTTGTGTCTTTTCCTTTCAATTGAATTCTAATGTATAAAAACACGTTTGAGGTTTCCTGCTCACACTTTTTTGTTCAATTTCTTAGTGTGTCCTCCCTGTGTTTTTCTTTTTTCCCCCTCACTGTTCTTTCTTTGTCTGGCAGCAGTTAGTTTACTTAAGCTCTTGAAACTTAAAGTTGTACATAGTGTGTAAAAGTGCTGTACTTCATTTTTCAATCACAGAGCCAAGCATCCTTTTTGTTTACCAGAAATCATTAAAGTTACTTGTATTTTCATGGATCTGTATCTTTATAAAAGTGAATTATTATGTGTATTGAAGATTTAGATTTAGCCTGACTTGTGAGGAGATGTTTTTTACTTTCTTATTGAACATTAACACTTTTTAACTAACTTTGAGTAGAAATACTTTTAAAGTATATTAGTTGCTATATTACATTAAATAAATTATCCTGGAGGCTGAGGAGATAGCTCGGCAGTCTGAGCACCTGACTGGCAAGTGCAAGGACCTGAGTTTGGTCCCCAGTACCACATGCCATGCCAGCCCCAGAACCCCAGGCATGTCAAGTTGGCTACCGAAACGGCCAGGGTGTGCACACATGTAATCCCAGCACTGGGGAGGCTGAGACAGGAGGATCACTATGAGTCCAAGCTGCATAGCAAAACTATGTACCAAATAAATAAAAGAATTAAAATACGTACATCAATTATTCTGAACATGGTGTATCTTTAATAGTTTGGAATCATCAGCATTAGTTACACAGATTGTCTTTAAGTCATGTGCTGGGTAGAGTTTTCCACTTCGTGTCATGTGGCTGTTTACCAGGCGGGCCTGTATTGGTAGCTTTTTTTCCTTTCTCCTAACTGCCACTGCTCTGTGACTTTGAGACTGTTCATTTGTCTACCAATACTTGCTAAAAAATGGAAACTAGGCAAGAAATTAGATTTATGACTGAAGGATGGACGAGGTTGTGAGGGTTTCAGTGACTTGCCTGAGGTTGATATATAAATTTTAGTAGACATCGTTTACCATTTACGTCACGTGTCAGTTTCCTTTTCATTCTTACCTGCGAATTTAGCAGCTAGATGCCCTGTGTCCAGATGAAGATTATGTTTTGAGAGGGTGGGGAGGGACAGGGGGTGTCACATCAGGTTCTTACTCTGATGCATATAGAAAAGGTTATTTTAAAAGATTATGTACTGCAGTACAGTCATACATGTCTTCTGTTCTCTAAGAAAATATGCTAAAGTGGTTTGAAATAATAACTAAAAGACACTTTTGTTTGAAGTTGGATTCTGAACTTACTGAGTATATGTCAACCCCTTTAAAATATACACACATTACTTAATAAAGGAGTAAGTTCAGTTGAGAATTCTGTTCTTTATTCAATTAAGTATTCCATTTGGCAAATTAAGCTACATACGCTGTATTGAATTAGGAATTGTTGGTTATTTGTGTAGCTTCTGAAGGTGCATGATCCAGTTTTGTTACTTGGACATTTTTGTGATAACAGGCATGGAGAGCAGAATCACTGGATTAATCTCCTGTGCTGACGCTTTGATGAATGACGCCCAGCCATGGAGCACAGTCCGCCTTGGCTGTGTGTATAACTGGTGAGCCCCCACTTGCATGCCTACTGTACCCAGCCAGTGTGCTGGTTCCAGCGAGGTACTGAGCAGCAGAATGTACTGAGCACACGCTGAGCAGGGTGGTTCAGTGCAGAAATGTCCCCGAAAGTGCACTGTAGAAGGAGCTTTGGTAGCGCAGCTCGGCTCTGTCCTCAGTAGTCATGGCTGCACCTCTGACCCAGGTGACAGCTGGCCACGCTTCGTTGACACTGAGTTAAGAGCAGAGCTGCTTTCCATCCACTCAAGTTTTCCCTTCTGTAGCCTCTTGCCCATTCCACCCAGCTTTTCCTTATCTTTTGTTGCATGAGTGATTTACTGTGAGGCTAAGACTGCCTCAGCCTCTACGCACAGGCAATGCACCTTAGGAAACCCAAGCCAGGCTTAGCTAGGGCAGCATCTGTCTTCATCACAGACCTTTTCTGCCACGTCCACTGGAGACCTTTTGTCCATGAAATGAACTCCTGTTACCCCTTGACTCACAGCTCTAAGAAAAGACATTTGAAGATTTTTTTGTTTACTTTATAATTTTTTAACAGTTTATTGTTTTTGCGTGTCTTACATGGATTTTTGTTCTATTTTTAAGAGAATAGAAATAATAGATCAGACATTACAAAGGATACACAATTTAAAAAGCAAGATGATAGGTATTCAATAATGGCTGTTATATTGTACATTGTCAGACTCAAATTTTCATCCTTACTACAGATTTGTCAAAACTGCTCTCCATTTGCCTTAGGTTAAAATAATATGGCCTAATGTGCTGCCATGAATCAAATAAAAATTTCTTCTTTTGAATTTTACTGCTGCGGCTGCCTTTAAATTTGTAAACAATGCTTTTTATGAAAGTATTACAGAGTCCTAGCCCAGGTCCGGTGAGTGTGTGGGAGAGCATCCGGCTACCCTGCGCCAGTGGGACCAACTCAGGGTCCCAGCCCAGGCGCAGCGTGCGTGAGACCGTCTCCCACCCTCTTGGAATGCCCCCCACCACTCCGCAGCACATCCCCCACCCCACCTGCCACATAGGAATTTCTGCCACATTCCAGGAACCCCCAGACCCAGTCCTAGCCCAGGTCCGGTGAGTATGTGGGAAAGCTTCCTGCTACCCTGTGCCTTCGGGACCAACTCCGGGTCCAGGCCCAGGCACAGACTGGGTGAGACCTTCTTTCACCCCCTTGGGACGCCCCTCACCACTCTGCAACACCTCCTCCACCCCACCCCACCAGTAGGAATTTCTACCACATTCCGGGAACACCCAGAGCCAGTCCTAGCCCAGACCCAGTGAATGTGTGGGAGAGCTGCCTCTCCCCCCTACTCCACCTTGTCCCCTACACACTCAACTCAGGCCTGGCATACAGGCCTGGGGTGTAACCCTGCAGCTGCAATCCCTACAGAGAGGGTAGAGGATAGAACCACGCAGCTAGTCCAGGAGCAGGACATCTTGCTACAGAGGCAAAACAGGTTCACCTTCAAGGGCAGCAGCAGGAAGGAGCTGAGTGCAGCAGCCAGACCCAAGCCAGGCACAGCTGGATAAATCCAGACTTTGTAGAACTGCACCTGAACTTCAGTACATGTGAAGGTTATAACTACAACGAAGATCTACAACAAAGGTCAGAAGACAGTGCTACACAAAATGATGAGAAGGAACAAAATGCAACCTCAGAACCCAACCCCACCCATA